TCTTTAGAGGATTCGAATGCGACTATAATTATATCGATGTCATCAGCGACCTTTTTTCGGTGAAGCTGCTATTCGGCAGAACTGCTATTCTGTGCGATACTCGGTGAACATGCTCTCGATGAACCTGTTTTCTGTGAACCTGATTTTCGGCGAAATGAACAGTCGCTAAATCTTACACTCCTTGAAATGTCCTTCGGTGAAACGTCGTTCTGTGAACGCGTTTTCGGTGAACCGTCGGGATACCGTGCAATGTCTTTCGGTGTGGGAAGCTCTCTGTGAATATTATTTCGGTGAATTGTCTTTTCGGTGAGGCAGGCGTGTCGGTGAAATGTGGTACTGTGAACCACCTTTTTAGGTAGAGTCGTTCGGTGAACTGTCGTTCTGTGAACTGGTTTTCGGCAATCCGTCGTAGACAATATGCTGCTGTAGGACATAGTACACGACATAGTACACGACATAGTATACCGTACTACACCGTATAAAGCTGGGTGTAGCCTGGCCAGCGCCAGACCTGAAGTACGCTCGTACCGGTAACGTCTTTTGCATAGCTACGGGAATTAATATACTATTATTGTACGACACTGGCATGCTACTCTAGCTACATTTAGCTTGCGATCTGCCTCCTTCCTAGTGTTTACTTCGGTCGTAGAAGTAAGTACTAGTAGTTAGTTGAATAATCTCCGCAAGACGTCACTGTTCTTCCTCGATTGTTGTAGTAGCAGGTTGAAATAGGCATTTCCCAAATCGGCCGAAAAATTCGCCGAAAACTGTGGTTTTGAAGAGATCACCGATCTTTTCGCAATTTTCGCCCTGAATTCGCCGAAAATCGATGTTTTGGTACCTCTATAGCATGCAAAATTGCAAATACAATTTCAGTAACAATTAAACTGCGATAGGCCTTGACGGATTATGCTAGCATAATTTTTCGCATAATTCCTACCAAAATCGAATAATCGCATAATTCGAGGCAAATTGCATACGAATCGCATAAAATTGTAATAATCCGCCTGTTCGCATCAAATTCCATACAGTTGTACATGTTCTACAAGTACAAGTACAAGTTGATGCACTAGGAATTTGTAGGTTTACGACTCCCTTGATAATAATGTCCAGTTCACTACAATCAGTGATGGTCGTAGCCAGGTCGGACGATGCGTTGACCCCGTTGAACTTTTGCTACTACAGTACAACGCCTTCTACAAAAAATTCCCTTGTTATTTTGCACAGAACCATTTTGCATTAGCAGCATATGTGAGCATAATGCGGCATAATATGGTAACTTTTAGCATAAAAATAGCATAATTCTGCAATTTTTTCAGCAATGCGAAAAGCATAATTTCACGAAAATATTAGCATAATCCGTCAAGGCCTAAACTGCGAGAGGTGACGGCGATTTTACGCATTTCCGCATTTCCGAACACAGCCAGCAGGAAAGATGCCGAATTTTTTTTTAATCAAACCGCGACCATTATAAATTTATAATACTGCGATCTACATGTAAACTGCACCGCTAATTTATATTTATTACAACATCTCAAGACTCGGTGGAAACACCGGCCAATGTTAAGAGAGTGGGTGATTGCCAACCACGGCGATAAATAAAAATTAGGGGAGGGAAAAAGAAAGAGTAGCAAAATGAACAGCAAGAACAACTCCGTAAAGAAAGATAATGTCAAGTAAAAACAGTGAAAAACACAGAGACGCAAAGGACATGTGGATAATGAGCTATTTATGTCGTAGTAAATAAGGGGCGGCACGGATCTTAAACAGGCGGAGTGAGGTCAGATCCTTAACTTCTCTGGGTAGAGTGAGCCACACAGAAAAAGCAATAAAGAGAGGGGAGCGCAAAAGAGTGGATGAGTTACACTTAGGGAGTAAGAGCGAGTTTCTAGTTCTTAGAGAAGAGAACCAATTAAAACACATGAGATGAGGTGGGCACAACTCAGCAAGCTGGCAAGCTTAATAGAATGGGCAAGAGAAGCCAGGTGTGCACTGCGTCCATGTGATAACGGGGTTGTGTGAGCGATTTTATAAAGGGCGGATGATGAGAGCATGCGGGGTTGACGGAGGAGAATTTTAAGGATTTTCTTGTGGTGTATTTCAAGCTTTGCAGCAGTGGAAGAGGATAATCCAACCCAAGACGTATCGGCATAATCAAATATTGGGCGAAGGTAGGCTAAATAAAAATGAAGCTTGCAAGAAAGTGGGAGGTAGGAGCAGTGGGGGAGAGAATTCGTAAGGATTTACTTGATTTTTACAGATATATTCGATGTGGGGTACCCAAGAGAGTGCAGAGTCAATCACAATGCCAAGGTGTTTGTGAGAAGACACTATGTCAATTGGATTTGGAAAGTTGGCATGGATGAGGGTTGTGAACTCTGGCTGGGGCGGGAAGAGCATGATCTTTGTTTTTGATAGATTTGGGTCAGTTTTCCTGCTGACTTGAATTCTCACTTGACTGACTCCCGACTGCCATCCAGAGCACACTAGAAGTCCATCGAACCGTCCACTCGGCAAACCGGCAAGAAAGCACCACTCCCTGCTCAGTACACAGTGTTTCGGGGAATTCACCCCTCAGCAGTTGAGCTTGAGTAGGCTGAGGAAGATTGTGCCTGAAGAGCACCACTTATATAGTGCTCTGCACGCCCAAAAACATCACCAGGGATACAAACTTACAGAGATGCTCCGTTTCCAGCGCGACAAACACCTCATGAACACCAGATAGCAGCGTGAGTCAGTGTCGCTCATGGAGGTGCTGAACAAGCGATGAGGACCGTTGGCCATTCACAACGTTGTTGCCTCCAAACCATCTAATTCGCAAGCCCGCGCTGGGAACAACAATGTTAAGAAGAGGTTTTATTTATTTATTTATTGCATCATCATCTCGTGGCAAGCAATGCCAATATTGAATGAGAGAGGGGTGATAGCCAACCACGGCCAAATTAACAAAAGAAAAGTGGTAGACATACATGTATAACAAAGAAGAAAGAAAGAAGATAACTCAAGAGATACGAATTACACAGTTGCCCAGAACAAGTGAATACCTAGAGAAGTAAAGTAGCAGAAGTCTTTGGCAAGTCTTGAGGTTCTGTGACAGAAACGACCAATGTGTATAATATGCCAAAAATAGAGGGGACTTCAGATGAGTGGCTGTGCGAGAGATAGGGAAGCAGAGAGAGAGTTTCGGGTAGCTGAGGACTGATGAAACCAGTTAAGCTAGGATAAAATATGAGGTGGGGCAAGACCAAGACGAATTTTATGAATTAGTTTACATGATGAAAGTCTGAAAGGTGAAAGGTTGGTGCGACTTCGGCGATAGTAGGCGAAGAGTGTGTTGCTCTCTAGATGGGAGCTCGCGGTTTTCTTGCCGACTTGAATCCTCACTTGACTGACGCACGACTGCCAACCAGAGCACACGAGTGTATCTGGGTATTGAGCAGGGAGTGGTGCTTTCTTGCAGGTTTGCCGAGTGGACGGTTCGATGGACTTCTCGTGTGCTCTGGGATTGTGATCGTAAGAAGTCTGCTGTTTTTCTTCACATGTTGTCTCACCCTAAGTGTCTGCAGGTTTATGATGATCTTAGTGTTTGCATCCTTCTGTACAAACCTGATCTTTGTAAGCGGAAGAGACATGTAGTTGCGTTCAGATTGTTTTCGTAGGTTCACAGCATGACTGTGTGTCTCACTGCACAGTTCTAGCGATACAATTAGTGTCTCACCCCCTTTGCACTCAGTTCTCACTTCACTTCTATTGTCTAACCTTTCTTCTTTCTATTTTAGCACTTCATTTTGTTCTTGTTGCACATTATTGAATGAACATGACCTCAAATCATTGTTCAGCATGGATATTCTTCAGCCACGACATTCCACTGATGGATGTGACATGACGATCGATTTTTGAAAACTTTCATGGTTTCGTTGTTGTGTGGCGATGACAGCAGACTTTTTTTCTCTCTACTTTTTGAATATGTTTTGTTTCATCTGGCGATGTTTGTATGACGCACGTAGCACCCTATTCCAGCCCTGTGTTTTGTCTTGCACTCAACCTGCACTCGTGGTGGCCAAAGCAACTTGCTGGTTGTCCCACCTGCTAGCATTGCTCGTTCTGCTAAGCGCCTAACGCACACTGGAGCCATTATGTGGAACAGATTGCCGTCAGAAGCAAAATGTTCAAATACTTTGGATATCAAATCTCACGCCTTGCAGTTATTGTCAACTACGTAGGTTTTCCATAGCTCACTGGATTGATATCAGTCTGTTCATTGCAAACAACCTTCCATTTTCTTTCTTTCTTTTTCTTATCTCTACTTTTCCACAATATCCTTTAAAACTGTATTCACAGTGGGTCCATGGCTACTAGGCGCATTCCTGGTTTGATTTCCACTATAAATAAAGTATACAACAACAAGGACGCTGACAGGAGGTGCTGGAAGCTGACGCCTGATCGAATCAGGACATAAGACTCTCGATGGAAGCAAACAGCTGGCTTACTGATGACGCCAGTTTCTGGAAACGCTCTAGCAAAAGAGATCTTGTGTCTATCGACCGATCTGCGGACCGATTGCCTACTAACACGTAGGACCCAATCCGAAGCCGCTATACTCACCTCGTTGTCCGTTACCTCCACAGCCACAGCCTCACAGGATCAGCTCCCTCAGAACCGGCAGGAGAACCGGAAGGAGAACATGAAGACATCTCGACGCTGAACGAAAACACGGACAGAAAATTACCAACCATAAGTACAGCTGCAGTGATGTCTTCAACTTCATTCTCCAGAAAATTACCACCATTACCACCATTACCACCAGGGCAAAGAAAGAACTGAGACTACTAAGTACAGAATATCTCTGAAAGCACTACAGTGTATTTGAATAAATAAAAAACACACACAAACGATTTGATGTGCACATCTACGCTTTCTTTCACGGTACGGGACGGTACGTATTTTGCATAGGTACGGGAATAATTGACAAAGTAGTTTTCGGCCTTTGAGTTTCAGCGATCATTCCCGTTGGTTGTAAACCCAAAGAAACGGTGATTTATTTAACAGCTCTGTACTCGTCGCGCTAGTGAGAACTGAATACAGCAGCGTCCCTGTGGATGAGGATCGCTAGCTACCAAGAGCCTTGAACAGGACCATGGACAACAATGGCAGACCAGACATAAAGGATGTACTTTACGTCAAACTTCTCGGCAGTGGGGCATTCGGCCATGTGTGGGAGGCGAGCTGGCTATCTGGCGGAAAGCACGTGGCGGTGAAGTTTCCAGGGATTAACGCACATAAAAACGCCACCTGGAAGTGGAAGACAGATTTCATTCGTGAATGCAAGATGATCCAGAGCCTTCATCATGATAACATTGTCCATGTGCACCGAGTATCTTCGGATAATGCTCCCATGCCTTACATTATAATGGAGATGGCAGACCACGGCAGTTTGCTGTCCGTCGTTACGGATCTGCGTGGCAATGACAAACTAACTGGTGGAAGGAAACGATGCGGTATGTGTGTGGGCGTAGCAAATGGTATGCAATATCTTGCAGAAAAACACATAGTCCACCGAGACCTGGCTGCCCGCAATGTTCTGGTGATGCGCGGGGAGATCTGCAAGATCACTGACTTTGGATTGACTAGAAGGATGATGGAGCTAAGTGAGAGTGTGCAGCCATCAGCTAAATACTTTTCAGGGGAAACAGGCCAGGATTACTTCAGCACCCAGGAAAATCCAGATGGACCATTCCCACTGTTCTGGAGTGCACCTGAGACCTATCACGCAAAGGGCACGACCGAAGGTGATGTGTGGAGTTTTGGTGTGGTGTTGTGGGAGGTGATGTCCTTTGGTTTGACACCATTCCTCTCTGATTCCGCTTTGTGGAGGGTTGCTGCAAACACTGAACGTATGAAGGAGTTTTTCTTAAGCAGCCCCGATAATCGTCTGCCGAAGCCAGACGACTGTCTGGATGAAATCTATGATCTCATGCAGTTGACATGGAAGATTCAGCCGTCAGAACGACCAACGTTTCGTCAGCTCAAAGAAAAGCTTCGGGAGGTTTACAACACACAATTGATTGTGTCTCCATCATCACACAGCGCAGTGGCTGTTCAAATACCACCCGCCTCCGCGGTGGCTGTTCAAGCACCACCCGTCTCCGCAGTGGCTGCTCAAATACCACCCGTCTCCGCAGTGGCTGCTCAAACACCACCCGTCTCCGCAGTGACTGCTCAAACACCACCCCTCTCCGCAGTGGCTGTTCAAACACCAACCGTCTCCGCAGTGACCGTTCAAACACCACCTACTATGCCTGGGGATGTTCAAACACAACGCTCAAAGGCAGCCGTAGCTCAAGCAGCACGTTCGAAGGTGGCAGAAGCTAAAACAGAACGCTCCAAGACCGGAGCTGTTAGAACAGCACGCTCAAAGGCGATGGCAGGTAAAGCAACACGCTCAAAGACAGCGGTAGCTCAACCAGCACGCTCAAAGGTGGTCGTGGCTCACGGCGCATACTCAAAGGTAGTTGTCGCCCAAACATCACGCTCAAAGTTGGTAACAGTTAAAACAGCGCGGTCAAAGGTGGTCACAGTTCAAACAACACGCTCAAAGAACTTGCGAGTTCAGGCCACACTCCCTGCTGCTTCAAAACGTCGAAGAACAAAATAATTGCATCTGCGAAAAGCCTTGCAGAGTGCTGCATGCGGCAACTTACATAATGATCGGTTCTGGAGACCAATACCCGGGAAGGAAGCAGAATACCCGGAAAGGAAGCAGAATACCCGGAAAGGAAGCAGAATACCCGGAAAGGAAGCAGAATACCCGGAAAGGAAGCAGAATACCCGGGAAGGAAGCAGCTCCTGGACTCTGCACTAACACCTACGTTAGCCTTTTAGGTTGGGGGACTTACTTTAGAATGATTCATTCCGTCTGCTGGGTTCTGCATGATGCTGGATACTTCTGCATGATGTGGATTATATCAGATCTGAGTATGTGGACTTAGCTTCAAGTAGGAGGTAACTCCAGTGTAACCTCTTGCTAGAGTGGAACAGAGGGCGCAATTACTGCCGACCAGTCTTCTGCTGAGCTCATTTGCTGTACTCTAAAGCAATCGGCAATCATGAACTGTCTAATAATAACAGGTTATTCATGTTGTACTTGGCTGTATGAGCCTTTATCCATTGTGTGTGTGTGTGTGTGTGTGTGTGTGTGTGTGTGTGTGTGTGTGTGTGTGTGTGTGTGTGTGTGTGGTCTCGGCTGTGGCATCGGCAGACTCGGTCCGGAAACAGCGGGTTGCCCTGCCCTGCTGCAGAGCGCATTGTCTCGGCTGCGGTCGCTGCTGCAAGTCATCCCGTGGTTTCGACCTGCATAGCTGTGCTAATTTCCTGTCCAGGAAGTGGAGCGGCGTTTCTGGGTCCAATGCTGAACTCAGTGCTGTCGACCCCTGCACAGGGGACACGTGACCATTTTGATGGCAGTGTTACCAAGGACCAAGTTGTGTGTGTGCGTGTGTGTGCGTGCGTGTGTGTGTGTGTGTGTGTGTGTGTGTGTGTGTGTGGTGTATGTGTGTGCGTGTGTGTGTGAGTGTGTGTGTGTGTGTGTGTGTGTGTGTGTCGGATATGTTGCCTTTGGGTGGAGCCGTCGAATGCGTGGACAGCTTTCGCTATCTTGGCTGCCAGATCACTCCTGATGCTAGGAGTAGCTTTGATGTCTCTCGCAGGATCGCCGCAGCTTCGGGTGCATTTGGCGCATTGAAGAAAGCTGTGTTTGCGAACTCGGAGTTTCCTATCGGTCTCAAGCGTGTTGTGTACGGAGTCACTGTGTTGGCAGTACTCCTCTATGGTGCTGAGAACTGGACACCGAGGCAACGGGATCTCCAGCGTCTGGAGTCGTTTCACCTGCGATCTATACGCATGGTCCTGGGCATCAGTCGGGCGCGCCAGATGGACGAGCACGTGACAACCCTTCAGGTACGGCAGTGGTGGGGTGACATGGAGCAGGTCTCTGACAAGGTCCGGCGCCGTCGTCTCCAATGGCTGGGCCACCTGGCTCGCATGGATGACCGTATTCCCCGCCAATTGCTCTTTGGTGCCTTGCCGTCTAAACGACCTCCACATGGCCCCCGGAAGAGGTGGAAAGACCCAATCAAACATGACCTGACGGCGGTGTCCATTGGCATGAATGAGTGGCTTGAAACAGCAGATGATAGGTCTGAGTGGAGAACCAGGTGTCAGGATGGAGTCTACAGTGTGGTATGCTCTCGTGTACAACCTGCCGTGAAACCACTCCTGTGTATGGTCTGCACACGCCGTTTCAGCCGTCCTCAAGACATCGCTAGACATAGTTGCACCTCCCGTCGCTCCGCAAAGGCAAAAAACAAACAGTGAAACAGCCGTTCACGTCCCGCCGGACTCGCAGGGCCTCATGCCGCGTCCCGGAGACAGCACTCCTCCAAGTCGCCCCGTTTGGGGACACATAGCCAATCGTGGCAGTGGGCGAAGGAAGGAAGGAAGGTGTGTGTGTGTGTGTGTGTGTGTGTGTGTGTGTGTGTGTGAAACGAAGGGCAGTGTCGGAAAGGGCCGACTTCCCGTTTAAGTGCCCTTGCCAAAGGAAGTTCCGACTACGTCATCATCTAGTGCGCCATCAGGAGTGCTGCTCCTCAGTCTCTTCCACCCCTCTCACCTGACGGGGACCGTGTAACCTATCAAGGCAACGTGTATCAAGGTCAAGGTCAAGGTGTGTGTGTGTGTCCATGTTTCTGTGGGGGACGGTTGCAACTTTTTGGGCTCCTCTCTGGTTGTCGTATTTCGTCTTACTGTGCCACGCCAGTCCCCAGGGTCAACCCTGGGCTTTAGCCTTTAGGTAGCTTGTTTGCAGTTCAGGAACCGACTTTGCGACTGCCTCACTACGGGTCCTTTTCTGCTCGACAATTGTCACGCGGACAGGCAGTATTTGCAGGATTTAAAGCCGCGACCCCCTGCCGATTTACTGAAACACTTGTATTTGTCTTTAAAATGCTTTACAACACTGCGAATTCTACGAATGCGGACGGTAAGCGGAGCGTAACTGGTGTTTCAGCGTGCATCGCGACTCGCACATAATGCATTTCGTTCAAAATAAAATAGTTGGTTCGAGTCGTATGGTAGCCACAAGCGCAAGTAGCCTCCCTTACCCGTACCCCAACTATGCAATACGGTACGAGAGATTGTTCAAGAGGACCGCAGGCAGATTGAAATCCGAGACAACGCCATCATCTCGGGTCTCCCAGAGGTGGACAACGAAAATCTCCCACAACTCATTCGTACTTTGGTACCTGAAATCAACCCTGCCACAATCGAGGTAAAGCGAATTGGCAAGCCATCTGGGGACAAACCAAGGTTAATTCACGTAACAACCAATGCAGATACGAAGGCGCACCTCATGAAAAATCGTTTTGGCCTGAAGCATGGTGCACATAACGTATACGTTAATCATGACCTGACAAGAAAGCAACAGGAAACTCGACGCCGTACCCTACCAACATTCAAGAA